GAAAACAAGCTCTCAGTGGACTGTATAGCTACTTTGAAATTTCAACTGCAATAATCCAGGCTAATTCATAATTATTATTCAAGGCATTTTCAATTTACAAATTTACACACATTGTCTCAGTATTATTGTCTCGTTTATGTAATTTCATGGCATAAAACTGGCTAAGAAAAGGACTCTTCTTATTTTGCGATGACCATTAGACACATCGTAACTTGCGACGTGTTTTAAGCCGTTATCAACATGATCAAGGAACTTACGACGCGTTCGCAAGTTTCATCAAATGGATCATACGTTACATGTCATAACACGGTTTGCAACGCATCGCAGTGCTTCGTGAAATTAGGTGCAGGCCTAGTATTTACATGTAATAGATTTTTCAAGTTTCCGGGCATTTTTCTGAAACATTTTTTTAAACTTCACACAAAAGTCATGGCCCTGAATATTTCTTCTCTTTCTGAGAAAACCCTCCAAAATTTTGGGTCAAAAAATTGTCTTTGCATAAACATGGCACATGTACTTTTGTACTACATGTGTTATTGGAAGGAAAATTTTACAGGCATTTAATTTTTCCTCAGATCCGCTGATTTCCTCGTTTTTTATTTCTCATGAATGCCAATACAAATTGAAAAATACTTTACAAAGTCTTGTGAGGTTTGGAATTTCCTCGTTTTTTTTCTAAATTCATGTATGTTAGGCACACATTCATGTAAAATTTATGAGCGAATGCACATAACTCCCACGGCCAGGCTCATGTTCAACGACAGTTAGGCCCCGACGTCCTAATGTATTCCATTAATGATTGATGCTCATTGTGCATAATACATGCGCCAAGATTGTCCGTCCCGTTCTTTTGAATCCACCAAATAAATACACTTGAACGGACATGGTTTATTAAAGAGCAGATTTCGCGGCAGTGTGGCAAAGTTACATAAATTCATGTTTGAATGCAGATTAAAATCTATACTCAGTTAAATAAATCATGAGAAATATAGCACAGATGTTGCAGACTTCAAAAAGTAAGTGTTTTTCACACAGTTTAGATGTAGACTTGACTGTCATGTCGTCAGACAGTTTGTCCCTCGACACTGCTAGCAAGGTTTATAACACTGTACTGGGTTTTGAACATGTACAAATAGAATGTTGCTTTGATATTTATATTCCATGTGGAGAAGAAGGAAATGTGTAAATAGGGCCGACATTTAAAAAAAAGAATAATTAACCCTAACCCCTTGAGCTCTTTTACTAGAAAGATCAAATCCTGAATCCGCCAAAATCCATCAATTTTGCCTTGCAAAAAAAGGAATGGTGGCCAGTGAGTCCATCAGAATCCACCAGTTAGCCAGGAGTAAATCTGTTGAGATCCTGAATCCGCCAAAAACCCCCAACAGCTCAATATAGAGGTATCCTGAATCCATCAAAATCCTGCTGTACCGCTTGGCTTCATGTCCTGAATCCATCAAATTCCCCCAACTTTTGCAGATATGGAGGTATCCTGAATCCGTTGAAATCCCCCGAAACAGGGGTGTGGATTTTGATGGATTCTGGTACATGTACGGTGGGGTTAAAAAATGTTTGTGTGTACATTTAGGTTGACAGTGAGACAGTAAAAAGTTTAGTGTATTCTTGTTTCAAGGTAGAGTATATCATTTGCAGCTATCCAAAAAGTAACTGACGAAATTATTGTTGAAAAGCGTAGATGATAATGGCACTAAACTCCCGGTGAAATTATTCTTTCTGGCATGTTGTCATTTTGAAGAAAACAATAAAAGAAGGTCATTTCCATAGATGCGTCTAAAGACGCAGTTTTGGAAATTTCCGTTAGTGGTTACTTCCACTATGTTTAATTCAGCCAAGCCGTGAATGGGTGCATGCAAGTATTGACACGACAAACACGCACGCGAAGGTGCTAACATTTGCCGGTTTAATGCGTGACATCACGTACATATGTAGCTGCAATCAGCTGAATGAGAATGTGTCCAAGACACTGATTTCGGGCACAATTCAAAACATGACACGGCAACTTTTGAATTGAAATTGAGATCCTAGAATATTGTTTATTCGGAATATGCAGTATTCACTGAGTTAAACTTCATCAGGTTAGTTGTTGAGCACCCTTCTTTAGATTTTGAGCACTGTTGTTGCTTCAATCGAAAAAAAAACCCCAAATGATATACTCTATTACCCAATAATAATGTGTTTTCCCTTTATACATGTAGGCTGTGTTTGCATTCTCCCACTTTTGTAAACACGTTCGCTTTGTAATCCACAGTGCCCAGACGATTCTGACACCCCTGCGGTTTCCCTCACTTTTCTGTTTTCATTCTGGCAACTGACCTTTTCAAAAATGCAGTTGATTAACCACATTGGGGGATAGTTTTGGTAAACCGTCGCAGAACAAGTTTGTACATGTTTTGTTCTCATTGGTTGCACATTTTGAGGGATTCTATTAAAGGGAATTTGTCTTAGGAATTTTCTGTGTCTTTAATACTCAGGTTCTTGATCACAAATGTGCTAAGAAAAGAGATCAGCAGGGTACCAGTTACATGCAGTGGCCATGTCTATCCTATGGCATTTTTGGCTGGTAACCAATTTTGCTCAGGAAATGTCTGTGCTAAGTGGCTTCATGACGTGATGCATGAACATAATTTACACCGTCGCGAAATTTACATCTAGTCATGGAAATGTTCACAACAGTGCAAAAAAGTTTCATGAAAAATATCACGATGTCGCCAAAATATTTGAAGACATTAACACCCCTCGTATGCCAATGGCGCTGTAGGTTTTTTCCATCAGCCTGATTATGATGAGCAGTGGCGTGTTGTCCAAGTCCCTCAACATTTCCCGTGGGCGTGATCGCATCATGATACCTGCAGACAGTGGATTTAGACAGACAACCTAATGATGCTTTATGCATCCACGGAATAACGAGGCCACACTGTAGGCCTCACTGTCCCAATGAGGGTTTTTCTCTTCCTCGAGTTTTGAATTTGAGTTTACTTTTTGAGTTAAAGGTTGACTTTTTGAGTTTTGGGTGGAATTTCCAAGTTTGGGGTGAACTTTTCTAGTTTTGGGTTGAATTTCCAAGTATGGGGTTAATTTTTCTAGTTTCGGGTTGACTTTTTGAGTTTCGGGTTGTGAGTTTCAATTTGAGTTTTCGAGCCTTGGGTTTTGAGTTGAATTGTGGAGTTTAGAGTTGACTTTTCTAGTTTTGAGTCGTCTCTTCGAGTTTCGAGTTGACTTTTCGTGCTTTGATTTTTGAGTTGACTTTTAGTTTTGAGTGGACCTTTTGAGTTTTGAGTTGACTTTTGAGTTTTGAGTTGACTTTTGAGTTTCGAGTTCAGTTTTTAAGTTTCATGTTCACTTTTTAAGTTTCGAGTTAACTTTTCGTGCTTCAAGTTTTGAGTTTTGAGTTTGAGTTGACTTTTCCAGTTTCAATTTCGAGTTTTGGGTTGAGTTTTTTCAAGTTTTGAGTGAACTTTGAGTTTTGAGTGGACTTTTTGAGTTTCTCGTTGACTTTTCAAGTTTCAGGTCCACATTTTGAGTTTCCAGTTGAACCTTTCGAGTTTAGACTCTGTTGCAACCAAGTGCCCAATTTAACAGTGCTAATTTCCCTTCGAAAATGTTAGCACCCAAATAAATTGGTTACATTTGTCACAGCGAAAATCCAGTGAAGCAAGGAGTTTGAGAATTTATGGCAATTCAAATTTTTAAAATTTTTGGTACATCTCACAGAATACTGCTGGATAACATCCCCCCCCCCCCAGCCAATCGAGGACGTCCTCGATTGGACTCCTGTCCTCATTTTAGGATGTTTCACTTGTGTGTCCTCGATTTGTACCATGTACAGACATGCACACACACACACTTGTAATACATGTGTGTACTGGACATGTACATGTACAATGAACAGCATTTGAAGAAAATCGACTCTGGACACATAAAAGTCTTCCCAGCTATCAAACAGTATTTGTGTCATAAAGGAATGTTTGATTCTCCGGGCATGGATGACCTTTTCATGTAATCAGTGTTAATAGTCCAGCCCCCCCCCCCCCCTTATCACTGCTGAAATGTCAATTGTTGACAACTCTCTCTGGACAAAGATCATGAGCGTTTGACATGTAGCAGTGTCCATTATAAACACACGTAAAGCAATAGACTATTACACGCTTGAATTAATATAACTTCCTGGTAGAACTATATAGTGGTGTTCCCTAATCTGGCGCACTTCGACGTTTCCCTCGACTTTCCTCATGCAGTGTTGCCAAACCTCTTTGTTGACAAGCTTCAAATTCATTCAGATAAATACTGGTATTTTATTTCCTGAATAATGCTTGCTGTTGAACCTTTGTGAAAAATTTCATTGTCTTGAAATTTAGTCTGGAATTTGAAAATGGTGGCACCGAAAATTGGGCGCAAATTCGGACGAGTGTTCCCTAACTTGGCGCACGTGAACAAATCTTGAGAAAGCCCATGTTAACATTGAAGAATTTCTTTAAAGTTGATAAATTCTGATCAAATTGTTATTATCTCCACTCACGTACCCAGCGACAAGTTTGTTTGAAAATTATTTTCGTATTTTTGGGCACATTTTAAAAGGGTTAATTGTGCACTTCGAAATACAAGTGGAAAATCACGCCAAAATAGAAATTAAGTCAACAGACAAAAGCAGGCAAGTGGTAGGCACAGCTGGCTTATCAATCACCTACAGTCAAAGCATAGCTGCATCAAGTTACATAAACAGTCACAGCCAGTCCATCCTGCTAATGTAGCCTGGGAGCTCTTAACTGTTAAAAACAGTCACTTGATTGAAATAACAACTTTGCACAGAATGTTTGTTTGCATAGGAGGGTTTTAAAGAGAAAAACTGAAATTGATTTGAACTCATGTATCACCTTGCAATTCAAATAATCGTGCCCGTTTTCTTTGTTCAACTGACAATTGACTTCCAAAATCATATTTTAAATATTTTTTTTTCATTCTTGGATTGTTTTTGACTTCAGGTCACGCAGCGAGATGTGCCCGGTATCGACGTGGCCTATCTGGCCATGGACACAGAGGAAGGCGTGGAAGTGGTCTGGAACGAAGTGCAATTTTCGGCTCGGAGAGTCTTCAAAGAACAAGAGGTAGATTAATAATAGTCCGAGTCATTCCCCATCATTTAACCCTCCTGCTATTTAAACAGTCACAGACAGTCAAAATTCACTTCCACTTCCCCTGCTACACTTTTAACAAAGGCTAGTCACAAGCAGTCAGATCATATGTCAGCAAGCACTGTGACTAGTCAAACTGGGTCAACAGACAAAGCAGGCAAGTTGTGGTCACAGCTGTTTTATCACTCACCCGGAGTCAATGCATAGCTGTATCAAGTTACTTCAACAGTCCCAGCCAGTCAATCCTGCTGTATGTAGGCTGGGAATTCTTAACTTGTTTAACTGAAAGGACTACTTGGCACAGAATGTATGTTTGCATAGGAGGGTTACTTAATGATGTTGTCAAATCACAGCCGTCACTGCGCAACAAAATGTCTGACAAATGTCTTTTATGTAAAAATGACATACAGGACTGGGACATTTATAGGGCATTTGGAGACATACTTATTGCATACATGCGAAGTGGGGGTTCCATTGTAACAGTGTGGTGATAATGTGGTTTTTTCAGGGGGTAGCTTGTATTTTTATAAAAGAAAATGGTAATATGTTCTGCAAATCTGCAAAAAGTAGCTGAAATAAACTGATGTCATTAAATCCACTGTGCGTTGATGACGTTAGTTGAATATCAAAAAATGGCTGATTATTAGTATCAGACTCCAAAAATAGCATCACAGAAACGATAGCACCATTTGCATTTACGGCAACAAAACGAACAGCTGTCAGGTTTAAGTTGTTGCACAGGAAACCATACAGTTGATTCATTGCGCAATTGTCAAGTGTTTCAAACGGCCAGACATTTTGGGGATTATTTTTTCGGAGGAAATTCATTTTAAGAGAAAAGTCAACATGTGTTGGCATATGTATGGAGGTGACCACTTGTCCGAATGCTATTAGTACTTTGTCGATAATGGATTGTATCCTGAGTCATGTTTTAAAATAAATAACATGCACATGTGCACATTATCATGAATTCTTACTGCGGAGAGATTTTGACATGACAGGATGTTGGTAATGTTCATTTTCGCCATCGGGTGGAATCCGGGGAAAAAATGACATGTAATGAAACTATAAAGGCGTATACATGTAGAACCATTTGCTTTTCATGAATTTTGTTCATTTCCAATACTAACACTGTTTAACCCTAACCCCTTGGGTATATGTACTAGAAAGTATCCTGAATCCGCCAAAATCCATCAATTTTGCCACGCAACAAAAATTTGGTGGCCAGTGAGTCCAGCAGAATCCACCATTTAGCCGGGAGTAAATCTGTTGAGATCCTGAATCCATCAAAATCCCCCAATTGCTCAATTATGGAGGTACCCTGAATCCATCAAAATCCTGCAGTACCGCTGGGCTTCATGTCCTGAATCCATCAAAATCCTCCAACTTTTTCAATATGGAGGTATCCTGAATCCACCGAAATCCCCCGAAACAGGGGTGTGGATTTTGATGGATTCAGGTACTTTAGGTTAAAATTTCAAAGAAGAATGATCAAAACCTGAGCTGAAACTTCAACAGGTTAGGTTTTGAACATCCTTCTTTGAAATTTTAGTGTTATTGTTCTGTGAATAACTGTGAAACACCACGCACGACCTTTTGATCATGAATCACAATTTTGCCAACAGAACCCTGGTTTGACTAAATATTGATGGAGTGTGATGGACTTGGGCCTGGAGGTCTAAAACAAAGCACGCGTTGGAAGCAGTGTGATTGATGGATTTTGGCGGACTTGGTCCAGTACTTAGTAAAAGACAGTGGGGTTAATTTAGGGTTAATGTTTAGCTCGGCAGAATTTTCCCACCCTTCCCCCCCCCAAAAAAAATGGGTATGGCTGATGGCTTCATTGATGACACAAAGTTATCTCTTTCACCTCATTGCGGTCAGAAATTAGGTCGAGATTCTACTTCATTTGATGATCCATTCTTTTGTGTATTACTGAGAAAAAAAAAACCTTCACCCATTTTTTTTCTCCTGGACAAAGAACAAAGAACCGCAAAGTTCACTGAACATTCACGTTTTCTTTAAAACATCAGACGACATGTACCTCTACTACATGCACATGTCCGTAACAACGGAAGCCACCTAAGTCAATTACCACTGAATGAGTTTTAAGCTCTGGGACCTTTTGTCCGAGAATAATAAGCAAAGTCTGTCGCTGCTGCGGCCGACAATCGTCTGTTTGCACAGGAGATTGTAAAAAGGCGGGAACTACTTATCGGAAACCCGGCAGTTGGTGTCCAGGTTCATAATTAAAGAAGAAAAAAAGATAAATAAAGATAAAAGGTTTGTTCAAAAATATCACGCTGTTGTCACATGTACATGTACATGTACATGTACGTAACTGGTTCAAACTGGAATTCTTCTGTTTTTCAATCTGATTGAGTTGTTCTGTTCTGGTTGTGACTGGTGGTCTGTTCATGTTTACTTGGCAAGCAAAAGTGAAATATTAATTCATTTGTTTTATTTTTTCATTAATTTTTTTTGGAGTAGGATCTGGGCCATCGTATAGAGACATAAATTTTTGACTGATACATGTATCGCAAGTGTGAACAAAATAATATTCAATGAAAAAAAAAATGCAAATTCCAACTTGTTATTTTCCCAAACATCATAAGTGGAGCTGGGTTAGTTCCTGATGCAGAGATAAACAAAGAGTTGTTTTCCTTGCAGATTGTTATTTTCACGTTCGGCCTGCTTTGGCACCAATACATGTACATATGGACATTCTGTGTGTCTGAAAATGGAGTATTTTTAGTTTTTAATCTTGCCAGTCTAAAAAGAAATTTGTAAGCAAAGAAAATTTCACAGTTTAAAAAGGGGGTGGACGGGACTAGGCCGGTACGACTAGTCCACTAGCAATACTAAAAGCATTGGTAGTCGTGACTATTAATTTCTAAACAGTCAACTAGTCGTTATACCGTGACTAGTCGCACCTTTTAAATTTGGTCGCGACTATTGAAATTTACTAGTCACCCACACCTGAAAATTGTGATCCAAGTTATTAAAAAATAAAGATGTTTTAAGCAATAAGGGTTTTATAATAGTAACAATGACAGAACATGAGCGCCAATTTCAGAGGCAAAAGTGTATTTTCTAGTGTGATCACTCACAACTGAGTAAATCGGGGTTATCCCTACAATGAATGATATGTAGTAGGCCTACACATGTGATTCCGTCATTACTTTGCAAGTGTATCAAAAGCTTAGTATTTTGTAGTACGCAGACATTATTCATGTGCAGGGCCCTGTTCTGATTGTAACGGAACATTTGAAAGTATGGGGATTGCTACTGAATTTCACTGGAAAGTATGCATGTACATGTATGTGAAATGAAAGATGATGTTTGCTTGTAAATAGTAACTCCATAATATACTCATTGATCAAACCATGTGTATTCATTACAGTCTGTTACTAGTCATGACTAGTCGACTATTCGGGACTATTTATCGCAACTAGTCGCGACTATTGTAATTCACTAGTCGCGACTATTGTAATTCACTAGTCGCCCAGGCCTAGGTGGGACGGGCAGTCTTTTACCCCTTGAGCACTTTTACTAGAAAGTATCCTGAATCCACCAAAATCCACCAAATTGTCATGCAAAATAATGTTGGTGTCCTGAGCCCATCAGAATCCACCAGTGAGTCCATCAGAATCCACCAGTGTACATACCCGGTACATGTATACCTCGTTCACACCAAACATAACCAAGTTAAACTGTTGAGATCCTGAATCCATCAAAGTCCCCCAACTGTGCAATGTGCAGGTATCCTGAATCCATCAAAATCCTGCAGTACCGCTAGGCTTTCTGCCCTGAATCCATCAAAATCCCCAAACTTTTTCAATATGGAGGTATCCTGAATCCGCCGAAATCCTCCAAAACAGGGGTGTGGATTTTGATAGATTCAGGTACGTTAGGGTTAAGGTTGCAAAAGTTTTTTGTTCCTTGCCAACAAAATATTCCTTTGCCAAAAATAATTCGCAACGCTTTCTACATTGCTTAGTAACGGGGTCTCACTCCCACCTGTCAGTACGAACCAAAGTCCCCTCCTGATTAGCGGCAACAACATCAATTTCCTGAGTTGTCAGACGGAGGGTATACGGGCGGATTATCCGATTTCCCGTTCCCGTCATTACGAATCAGCCTCAGACGCCAAAGACAGACTCGTGACAGCACGCCTGTCCTTTCCCACCGACGGGGGGAGACGCGCTGACCCCGCGTGCCAGGGTTACCGCTAACTAGGACATTGATTTCCTGCAAAGTGTGTAGTGTTTCCTCTTTGGCAAGCTGGACCTTAATTCGAACCCGCTTGGGAAAAGAAAACTTCCTCCATGATATTTTTTTCCCCTGATTTTTGTGTGTGTGGACATATCCAGGTGCGAAGCGCGTATGGGATGCTTTAAAGGGACGTCAACACCTTTTCTTATACCCCACCCTAATCCGGTCAATTTCTGGAACTGTTTTTTTTGTGTCAAAGATCTGTCCAAGTTATCGCTGTTGAAATTGCTGCCGATTTCTGAACCGATAAATCTTTAAGTTGTCTCCGAAGTTAATTGCAAATTTTATAACACAAGATCCACATGTGGCTCATAATACCAAGATTGCATCCTCACCACTTCCGCAGTACATAACATAATTTACATAATTCCTAACCACGCACCAACTCATTTTACTGTTATTGTGCTGAATTGACCCATCGCGTTAGAATCGCGTTAGAATCGCGTTAGAATCGCGTTAGAATCGCGTTAGAATCGCGTCAACACAGCTTGTGAAATATTGTCCAGTTACATGTTCAATTCAGTTTTCTGAATAATGCTACAGTTTGTGTTTATGCGGAAATCCCTCATTTTGGCTGGTGGCCAAAAAAAGGTTTTTGCACTCTGGGGATCTTAACAATGAAAATTGACAACGGTTTTCAGTGACGGTATGCAAAAGTGTACATGTATGTGTACAAATATGGTAGGCATAGGCAGTTCATATGTGTAACTGTGCATGTACATGTAGGCACTTACATGAGCTTAACACTTAACACGCACGTTTGACCACAAATCACTACATTTACATGTACATCATACGTGTATCCAAAATGGCAACCCATTTTGACCGTCAGAATTCCTGCACCCGATTTCACGAAGCGCTGCGACGCGTCGCAACTCGAGTTACGACGTGTAACACGTCGCAACTCGCGACGCATCGTATCATACATTTCACAAAAATTGCGATGTGTTGAACGCGTCGTAAGTTCCTTGACAACGGCTTAAAACACATCGCAAGTTACGACGTGTCTAGTGGTCATCGCAAATAAGAAGTGTCATTTTCTAAGCCAGTTTTATGCAATAAACATTTCATAAACGAGATTATAATACCGAGGCAATGTGTGTAAAGTTGTAAATGGACAATTCATTGAATAATTATGAATTAGACCGGAATATTAGAGCTGAAATTTCAAAGTACATGTAGCAATACAGTCTAATGAGAACTTGTTTTCCTTTGAAATTGCATCGCACGGCCGCCATTTTGTCCTACTTTTTAACAAATTTCGAGCGGAGATCCGACGACTCTTTGTTGAATATCAGACGACTATTTACTGTACGCTGACTTAATACATAAAACAGTCACCGAGTTGTGCTATAAATACACATACAACGCGTCGCACGTACGACATGTTTTGTGAAATTGATTGCAGGACGCGTCGCAGCTGCGACGCATCGTAGAGATACGACACGTCGCAGCGCTGCGATGCATCGTAAGTTACGATGAGTTTCATGAAATCGGGTGCAGCTCTTGTTCGAAAAAAAAATCCATTTACCAGGTGGATTTTCCCTGAAATCTACAGATACATATTTTTAAACAAGATTTGAAAAGAAAGAATTCCAGCTCTTGTTCGAACAAAAATATGACCAATTCTATTCTATCCACAATATTTTGTCAGGAAAAATCCATTTGCCAGGTGGATTAACCCCGAAATGTTCAGATACATATTTTCAACAAGATTTGAAAAGGAAGTATTTTTATTGGAGTATGTAAAATATAAAAAAAAAAGTGAAACAGATTTCTGCCATTACAAGAAAAACAATCGGTTCTGTTTTTGTGGATGATCGACAAACCATATGGACAAAATTTGCACAAGTTAAACATTGCTGACAGTGTTCAAAATCTCTACACTGATGGTTTGCAAAACTGGGGCTCAGTTCCAGCTGTGGATCCATGTTTTTTATTTAAGAAAAAATACTATGATAATGATGCCAAAGTTTAGAACATTCTATTTTAATAATATTAGCAACGTGGTGCTTATACTATACTGCTTAATATCAAAGGTCTCAAAACGTTTCACAATTATTACCCCTGTTCATCAGGCCATGAGACAAGTCTTTGCAGCAGCTCAAGATCAGCGCATTCTGGTCTCCTTCACTGGTACCCATTCATACTCCTGGGTGGAGAGAGGCAATTGTAGTAAAGTGTCTTGTCCAAGAACACTAGCACCATGCTTCCCCGTCAGGGTTCAAACCCACGTACCACGGCAATTGAGTCGAACACCATTATAAGCACTGCACCACAACTCCCCACATTTTGTTTGGCTTACTCATTTTTCTAAACTAAGCCAGAGATTGAGGCAAGTCTGCAAAAGAGGCCAAGATTTCAAAAAAATATGGGACATGATTGTTTGCACTTTTGTATCGGTATGTACAAGTGTATGTGCATGTTAATGGTGTAAATCGAGTACACACACGTGCAACATCATCAATGAATTGAGGACAGGAACCAAATCGAGGACGACCTCGATTAGAAAACGTGTACAATAGCAATGAGAGCTGTTGGAGAAGGGAAAGGGAACAATAGAAAATGCTTGATTTACACCATAAGGCCCCCCAAAAAAGTCTCCGGTTTCTGGTATGCGCGCGTGTCGCCGTAGCCATGCGCGTCGTCAAAATGAACAAGTTTATTTTTCAATGAAAGATGATGTCTCAAAACTGCCAAACGCACTAGTTTGACTGGAATCCTACTGCTGCACAATTTTAACCAGTTTTATGATGGGGTTACGATCGAGTATAAGCTTTATGTGGCCTCTCTGGACTCCCATATATTTGCACTAAATTTGTTTTTGGCCTGAATAAACCTGTGTGTACATTTTTTTGTCAAGTGTACATGTGCCCGTTCCCCCCCCCCCCCCTAAAAAAAAAAATAGAATTCATCTTTTTTTTCCCTGCTGAATGCTTAGGTACATGTAATCATCACTCGCCTCACTAATTTCTCCTTTTTTGGGTGCACGTAGACACGTTTGTAAAAACCTTGGACTTGTTGAACCATTGATTGTCTCTTGGGTACATGTACTTTGATGCATAGCACACAGTAGATATGACAGAATATACACGCAGGGTAACTGTACTTAATTGTGTGTAGTTGTGAACATGATCAACCATGCATTACATACACAGTGTGGATAAGGCATAACGTAAACAGATCAGCGAAGCGTGACATGTTCGTTGGGATTTATGATCTATTAAACTTGGAGTACAGTGCCTTGACATCATGTGAATTGCATGGGGCTGAACGTGGAGTTGGGGGAAAGGTCCTTTGCCTGTTAAAGCTACAGTCCATCATTTGCAGCTATCCAAAAAGTAACTGATGTAATTATTGTTGAAAACCATACTCGGTTGAAAGATAGTAAGGGAACTAAACTCCATGTAAAATGATTCTTTCTGGCATGCCATCATTTTGACGAAATCAGCGAAAGAAGGCCTTTCCAAGAAGACGCACCATTGGACATTTCTGTTAGTAGTTCGATTTTTATTTGGTGAAGTGCGAATAAGGTTTATTCTAACGATGGTCGGCCGACCATCATTGGAAATTGATACAAAAATTCCACTTTTCTTGGAAATGACAGCACACCAGGTGCCATGATTTCACAGGATGCTTGAGACTGTTATTCACTTACAGTCAAGTAAGGTATTTCATGATAATTTAGTAGTTCTATTTTTTTATGAGTGCAAATGTTGTATATTACCTTTAACTTTCTCTTGACATGCACCTTCTTGAATTGACCTATCACGTTCGAATCGCGTCAACGCAGCTTGTGAAATATTGTCCAATCACATGATATACAAATGAAAGCGGAACACGCAACATCTGAGACAAACAAAACTTAGCGTACAAATATTCCATAGGGTTGTCTAAGGGGCGTGGCCAACTCGCAAACAGCGAGAGGTCAATACTGTAATGGCTTCACATTTAACATTTTCCAGTTCATGATTTTTAACCTGATGTTGTTTTCCCTGTTCTTCTTATTTTTCAGGAGAAGATTCGAGTCAAGTTTGACAACCTGATACAGCTGGAGCATTGTAATATAGTCAAGTTTCACAAATACTGGGCCGACATCAGGACAGACGTCAAACCAAGGGTAGGTGGCTACGGCTAGCAATAACACACATGTCTATGGCAAGTGGCTGCAGCCGCTTCCATAGACTGTGTGTAATAGCAAGCCGTAGCCAAGTAGTTTGGACCTAGTCTTAAGGCTCACTGATTTAAAAAGGCGTGAGATTTTTCAGACTCTTGTTTGAATTCAGACTTTTTGAATCTGAGAGAAAGACATTCTTAGTATTCAGAAAGATACCGGTATGCATCTTTCAGGTCTTTCATCAATTTTCAGACTTTTTTTTTTAAATCACAATCTCATCCGTGCTTTAGGTGGCAGGTTATCATTGGAATTAGATAAATGTCATAAACCCTTGTGGTCCAGTGGTTATGATGTTCGACTCGTGGGCCCATGGTACGTGGGTTTCGACAGTGCTTGTGTTCTTAGGCAAGACACTGTACTACAATTGCCTCTCCCCACCCAGGAGTACATGTATAAATGGGTACCTGTGAAGGTAGAGACCAAATGCGCTGATCTCGAGCTGTTGCAGAAAAAGGTCTCATGGCCTGTTGATTAGGGGTAATAATTGTAAAGCGCTGTGAAACCTTGGGTATAAAGCATGTGTTCAACAATTGCTTCAACGTGGCATCATGCTCGCAATTGGCTCCGTGCGTGAAGTAGAGAGGGCGCCTGTAAAATCATGGCACCTGGTGTGCTGTCATTTTCAAGAAAAGTGGTATTTTTGTATCACTTTCCAACGCTGGTCGGCCAACCAGCGTTGGAAAAAAACTGGCATTTTTTCAAATATTGCCCCCAATTTACCATATTTAGTTAGTCCACATTTTGTTTGCAATCGATTACACACCTTTGAATGGTACAAGCCAGCTAGACTGGTTCCCTGCCCTTACAATTCCCGGACGTCTATAAAGTGTTCCGTTTCATCTTAAGTGGGGTCAGGAAACCAGACTGCAAGAACATAAATGTTTTTCTTGGTTTTTCCAGCATCTACGAACACAAAACTTAAAACAAGTCAGTGTAACAATATTTTCTATATAATACTTACCCCCAAATCCATCCATTTGTGAAAATTACAGCAAAAGCAAATGTTGTATATTCCTTTCAAATATGAATAATGTACCACTGGTCTCTCCTGAAGACGTTCAGAGCATACTGACCGGAACGTCGAGTTTGTACCTCTGGTTCTTTTCAGAACCATTCTCTTAGTTGAGAAATTATTCGCACATGGTGTTTCCGCAAACCTTTCATTATTTAGTATCTCCACCATGCAAAGCCTCAAATCTTACGTACCACTGGTTGTAATGTTAGATTTTTTAGGATTCAAATATCATTTGCTGCAATCTGTGATGTTTGTTCTCTTTTTTTTTTTTGTGCACAGGTAATCTTTATCACTGAATACATGTCCTCTGGTTCGCTACGGCAGTTTCTGAAACGCATCAAGAAAGACAAAAGGAACATCCAGGAGAAGTCTTGGAAACGTTGGTGTACACAAATCCTGTCAGCATTAAGGTAAAGGGCAAAAACTAATGAATTCAAACTTTAAAAAACATTTTATTCAAGAAAATAAAATGAAAAATGAAACATTCAGTAGGCCGAATCAATAAACAGGCCTGCAACTTTTCCTCGGATCCGCTGATTTCCTCGTTTTTTACTTCTCATGAATTCCATTACAAATTGAAAAATACTGTACAAAGTCTTGTGTGGTTTGGCGTTTCCTCGTTTTTTTCCCTAAATTCCCAGTTGCATGCCTGAGTAAAGAAATTTAAGAATTATTTAAATCCTAAGTCACAATAGTGACTGAAACATTTTTTCTTTTAAAGTGTTCGAAAATTTAAATGTCCAGAAGTCAATGTAACAAATATATATATTTTTTACGGTGGGGGACCTTTTTTCCATTGCAAAAGTTCCAAGCCTCAATTGTAAGCAGGTTTTTTAAAAAGATATACAGAACTATTACAAACTGATCAGAAATCCTCAAAACATGCAAGAAGTCCCGTTTTAATTTGTGGGTTTTAAATATTGATGCTGATTTTTCTTTGTTATGTTAACAAAATGTGGTTTTCTGCAACCGTGATAATTGCCAAAATTTGTCATAATGTTTCTCAATTCCTTAAAGCCATCATTACATGTTTACTATTTGCCTCAGTAATAGACCATTATCATGTAGCGGCCATCTTTATTTCTTCCCATTCAAATCAACGTAACCAAAGTGAGGCTGGAAGAAAAATAGTCTGGTTCCTTTTTGCACAAAAACATTGTCATTCTGTACTGTTACTGGATACAGGGAACATGACTGAAATGGTGGCAGGATGATAAAGGTCTATGGCCTCATGTTTTGGTCATCGTGTTTTTCAAACCTAAATGAAGTTTGACCGTATGTGTATGCTCTTTTTCCGTGATAGTTATCTACACACGTGCGATCCTCCCATCATCCACGGTAACCTGACAACAGACACCATCTTTATCCAACACAACGGTCTGATCAAGATCGGTTCAGGTCAGTTCTTGAATAACCGTATTGACTATGCAAAGAATAAACTCTGTGCATGGACAGTAGAGGGCGCTGTGTAAATACTTTCAAAAGCCCCATTGGAAGGCGCACATGGGAAAACTGGTTGACTGTATGTATTGTACTACATCTTGGTTCAATAAATTCTGCCTACTTTTTTTGTCTCGGTTCAGTTGCGCCCGATGCCATCCATAACCACGTGAAGACATACCGGGAAGAACAGAGGAACATGCACTATATCTCACCAGAGTATGGAGGTAGGTTACCAGCTAAGTTTCTGGTTTACTTTGATCGTTTCATGATATTGTAAAATATGAAATTGTGTCACAAAAGCTAGGTTCAATGAACTGTGTCAAAGGCATTCCTTTTCTCATTGTTCATTCCATGTAACTTACGATATGCTTGTGATTGACTTGTGATGGACTTGTGATGGACTTGTGATGGACTTGTGATGGACTTGTGATAGACTTGTTATTGACTTGTTATTGACTTGTGGTTGACTTGTGGTTGATTTGTTATTGACTTACAGTTGATTTGTTATTGACTTGTTATTGACTTGTGATGGACTTGTGATTGTCTTGTGCTTTGACTCGTGATTAAGTTGTGATTGACTTGTGATTTACTTGTAATTGAGTTGCGATTGACTTGCGATTGATTTGTTATTGACTTACGATCGATTTGTTATTGACTTGTGATGGACTTGTGATGGACTTGTGATTGTCTTGTGATTTGACTCGTGATTAAGTTGTGATGGACTTGTGATTTACTTGTGATTTACTTGTAATTGAGTTGCGATTGACTTGCGATTGATTTGTTATTGACTTACGATTGATTTGTTATGGACTGGTGATGGACTTGTGATTCACTTGCGATGGACTTGCGTTTGGCTTGTGATTTGCTTGCGATTGACCTGCAAGTGGCTTGTAATTGGCTTGTGATTGACTTGTGATTAACTTGTGATAGAGGTCACAGGCTCAGATTCTACTCTTTGATTACTCTGAACATTAATTTCTGCAAGCTCGTTAGTCTTCCGATCCCATTCATTATTTTAATCCTTTGTTCTTCAGAGTCGCAAGATCTTCTGACGACGGGGGTGGATATCTACGCCTTTGGTATCTGCGCCTTGGAGATGGCAGTGCTTGAAATCCAAACCAACGGCGACAACAAGCATATATCACGAGAAGCTATCGACAACGCAATAGAGCAACTAGAGGACCCGCTACAGAGGGTTGGTTAATCCTAGAAATAGCTAGCATTAGACTGTTTTGAAACTATTTTACATTGTGTACTCGGTCAATTTTTTGACTTTGCTTAATTAAAACCTTCCCTCTCTGGCTGGCAAATTCAACAAAGCCATCCCAGCAGTCAAAATCAATCAAGTGACTGTTTTTAACAGTTCAGAGCTCCCTTTTTATCCCCCTGGCTTTCAACCGGACAGGGGGATATTGCGATTGCGTATTCCTTCTGTGTGTCGGTGTGTGTGTTCCATTTGACTATAAAGTTCAGTCATCAATCTCAACCAAACTTGAAAGATGGTCTGTGGAGAGAAGGCCGACGACATCAAAAAAAATCCTTTCCAATATGGACATTTACGAGGTCTCTGGAGAGCTCAGCTCCAGTTGTATTACTAATGAATCTAACATAATGTCAGTAGCAGGTCTACATGTAGTCTTTGTGCAAGGGGAATGCACCAAGACTACATACATGTAGGCCGCATGGTGGCCCGTTTCTCACCCAAACTCTCCATTCAACCCAAACTCCCCATTCAACCCAAACTCCCCATTCAAGTGAGAACTGGTTCCTGCCGATTGGACCATCAAGGCCGTCACTGAAAATTATGCTTACTAACAGCCTGTACATGTATACAAACTGCCAGGATGCCGAGGGGATCGCACAAGTTTTACTTGCAGTATTTTTGCATCAAGCAGAATTGACTAGCTCTGAGTGTTTATGATATACCAGTAGCTTTGTCATGACTGTAGGAGTTTGACAAACCTGCTGTGCGTACCTGCCTTTCTCTGGGTGCAGACCAGTAAATAGGCCCAACATTGCCTACGCGGGCCAAATTACAATTGTATGCCCTCATTTTTTGCTATTAGAGCATTTTGTGGGCCATGAACTTGAAGAATTCATGAAACTGAAATGTTGCATAGCGTGAAATGTTGCGCAACTTACGCAATAAATTGTGGCGCAAGTGGACGTATGCCATTGCGTAAAGTTTCGTGAAATTTGCTGCAGACCACGAGGACATGTGCTTCCACAATATAATACTTATATTTTGTTGGTTTTAATGTTATTTTTTGTTGTCAGGATTTCATCCGTAAGTGTGTCGGTCCCGTCACCACCCGCCCCTCAGCCAGAGAGCTACTATTCCACAAGGTTCTCTTTGAGGTTCATTCCCTCAAACTCCTATCAGCACACTGCTACGTCCAAAACGAAAGTAAGTGTTTTACAGGGAATATACAACATTTGCAAACATCAAAAATAACAAAACTACCAAATTATTATGAAATGACTTAGGCCAAAAAAAAAAGTCTCCGATTTCTGGTATGGAGCTTGCCCAAAAAGTCCTTTTTTTACCTGATTTTTTTGCTTCAAATGTCGGCTGATGACTGCAAATGGTGCCCGACTAAACTTAGTGCAAATATATGGGAGTCCAGAGAGGCCACATAAAGCTTATTCTCGACCATAACCCAATCTAAAAACACGTTAAAATTGTGCAGCAGCAGGATTCCAGTCAAACCAGTGAGTTTGGCGGTTTTGAGACATCGTCTTTCATTGAAAAAAAAAAACGTTTTCATTTTGCCGACACGCATGGCTACGGCGACGCGCGCGCGCATACCAGAAACCGGAGACTTGTTTTTTTTGGCCTTACTGGACTTTTAGTGAATGATAGTCTAAAGCATCCTGTACAATGATGGCACCTGGTGTGCTGTCATTTTAAAGAAAAGTGGTATTTTTGTTTCAATTCCCAACGCTGGTCGGCCAACCGTCATTGGAAAAAAATGGCTATTTTCAAATACTGCCCCCAGTTTACAATATGTAGTTAGTCCGCATTTGTTAACAATCGATTACACACCTGTGAACGGGTACAAGCCAGCTAGACTGGTTCCCTGACCTTACATTCCATGATGTCTATAAATTGCTCCGTTTCATCTTAAGTAGGGTCAGGTAACCAGACTACAAGAACGTGATTGTTTTTCTTGGTTCTTGCAGTATCTACGAACACAAAACTTCAAACAAGTCAGTGTAACAATAATTGATATAAAATACTAACCCCCCAAATCCATTGTTTTCTAAAGATTACAGCAAAAGCAAATGTTGTATGTTCCCTTTAAGTCAATATATTTTCACCTGCGAAACAATTTTCTAATTTTCTGTACCAGGACTGTGTCATTCATTCTTTGCATTTTCTCAATACTTATTGCTTTACATGCTTTTCGTAAAGGCCTGTCCTGCGAATCCCAACTCGTAACAACTCTGGATGACATCTCCTACAATTACGATAATCAAATCACCACAGACATGGCAGTACTCGACTTCTCCAAAGCGTTCGACGTAGTTTCTCATCAAAAACTGGTTCAAAACTTAGACTACTACGGGATAAGGGGAAAAACACAGAAATGGATCAAGGAATTCTTAACCAACAGGTTACAAAGAGTTGTGGTAAATGGAAAATCTTCGAAATGGCAAAGTGTCGACAGTGGCGTACCACAAGGCACCGTGCTTGGCCCCCACCTGTTTTTGCTTTTCATCGACTACATTAGCAAATCAGTGACTGGCACAACTCGCCTTTTCGCCGACGACTGCCTGTTATACCGGAAGATCTGCTCATCAACTGATGCATTGATGTTCCAAAAAGACCTGGACAACTTGGCTAACTGGGCACAAACCTGGGGAATGAAATTTAACTCCAGCAAATGTAACATCATGCGAATCTCCAGGAAGCGGGTCCCTGGCAAAACTAACTACACCATGTTAGGATCCAACCTCGTAGAGAAAACCAACATCACATATTTGGGAATAATCATTCAGAATAACCTAAGCTGGAATCGTCAAACGGAACATGCCACATCCAAAGCAAGTCGTATATTGAACTTCATCAAAAGAAATTTTCATTCTGCATCCAGATCAGTCAAAGAAAAGCTGTACTTAGCACTAGTCAGACCACACCTAGAATATGGCAGCATTGCTTGGAACCCTCACATAGCTAAGAACATAACATCCCTGGAAAAAGTGCAACGGAGGGCTGCTCGCTTTGTAATGAATTCCAGGCTGAGCAGTGTGACCGACATGTTGACAATCCTAGGCTGGTCTTCACTGGAAGAGAGAAGGAAAGTTAACCAACTTACCTACTTCTACAAAATAATACATAACATAGTTCACATTAACCCAGCATCCATAGTCCCCAAACCAGCACCGGCTCGTAGAATTCACAACCACCAGTTCACAGAAATTGCAGCCAGGACAGACATCTATATATGCAGTCATTCCTACCCAGAACTATCCGGAAATGCAACAAGCTCCCTCAAGAGAGCATAGACGCCCCAAACCACAACACCTTTAAGGATTTAATTTAGTTCCACTTCCCCAAGGCCTCCTTGTTACACTTCCGGGTGGAGTATTCAGGAGGATAACTATAAACAGATAGCTTGACCTGAATTTTGCATTCAATACTCAGTTACCATTGAAAGCTCTGAAAATTTTAATTTTGAAAATATCATTTTACCGTCTGTAAGCACAGGTTTGATTCTGAAAACATGACGAAAGCATTTCCAATCAGGCAGTGTTTCAGATATTAAGCCATGTCCGAATTACTTGGCTGTGGCTTATAGTTATACATTCTATTGAAAGGCTTAAGCCACTTCCCATAGACTTGTGTGTTACTGCTAGTCATAGCCATAGTTTGTAAGGAAGTGGATAGTGTAGTGCTAGCCGTATACTAGTGAGTAACCTTGATATTTGTATTTTGTAGCTGTATTAGACCATGCTGACAACACGCTGATTGAGAGACTATCACCAGACACAGTCATAGCCAGTGTAGTACATGACGGCCGGGAAGGCGTGCAATGGAGGTTAGTACATGTACATAGCCATAGCCGCTCTATGTGTGTCACACTGTTCATATACAAGGTTCCTAATGGGGTAAAAAACACAATAGAACAATAGACCCCTTAAGGACGTCTGGAGAATTTGTCAAGAAGTTACATTGATTCTGTTTGTACACAGCATTGGGCGCTGTATGGGCACACATACTGAAATTTGTATCCTTGTTGAGACATTTCTTTGTTCTCGTGTATAAAGTTTTCGAATTTGAAAGTACAGTTTCAAAATGCTCTTATTTTAACCAGAATTAATTTCCTTGGCTGAAGTTCGGACTTAATATCCCTTTTCTGAAACTCGACCATTTGCGACAGATCAACATACCTTGGGAAATTCCTAGTTTTAGAGTAAAATCCATATATCTATTTCGTGAAAACCTTGTGGAGACGTATTCATCTATAGAAATTGCCCTGTGGAGACGTATACAATCTTTTGTTCCCTATTGTGTGCATGTCTCCAGTGGGCACGGTGTATCAGATCTTGCGCACAAGTACCCCTTCAACGGCCAAAAATGGAGAGTTGGGAGAGACCTAGACTAGTTCCCGGTTCATCTGCTGCGTATTTCGAATGATCCAAAGTTATTGGGGTTGGGGATTAGTCTGGGAGACCATCGCAAGATAAAACGCATTTGCGCGCCGACAACGCCCGACGCTCACGCGAAGACGCTGTGGCTAATAGCTTTGGCACATTCAGGAAGTCGTGTGTACTTCGCGCACAAACTAGTACAGTACAGTACGCACACACTGTGTATCCCGTACACGGGCTCTAAAAATTGATAATAAATCGCCCTCTTTTGTTGGCGCACGGAGCCATAGGCAGTGTATTGTTTAAGTCAACAAATGCAGCAGACATTATACGATTAAATTCTCACTATGTTCTCTACGTTCCGTAGACTGATTTTCATTCCTGTAAGGAAACTTCCAGTTAGATTTTCTAACAGCTTTTCATTGGACGATTCCTTTTTCTCTCTCTTTTTCGAAATACAGAGTTTCCCAGGTTCCAGCCCTCGAAATCGAGAAGTTCATCGAAGAAGTCAAGTGAGTTTTTAAATTTCTGTTTATTTCTTTTCGTCGCATGGCATGACATAGTGGAGATCCAGCAGTGCTGTAAATCTTCAGTGTACATGAAGGACAAAGTTTCTGAGGTCTAAAAATGGTAGATTTAACAAAAAAACATACTTACAGTCACAATACTTAGAAAATGAAACAAAGAAACTCTGGAGCAGGGCTTGAACCTGCGACCTTAGGGTTACCGGTCCAGCGCTCTACCTACTGAGATGTACTGTTTCCTGACTAGGCCTGGGCGAGTAGTTGATTTTCCAACTCAAGTGCTCGAAGAGAAATTACACTGAGTAGTCCAGCACTTGTGAGAAGTTAACTAAATTCCAACCAAAGCAGAAAAATGACATTTAAACATTATTGTGATTGACTTCGTCCAAAATAACATCAAGCATAATGAGGGATAAAGACACCTGGCGTGGCATTGTGAACGAGATCTCGGTTGTGACCGCTAGAGGATGATGACGAACATCAAGCAAATTGCATGCAAGTCACAGCTCATTCTGCACCGAGTCATTTCTTGTTGACTAACTTGTTGTACTTGCTTCTACTCATTCCATGACAAGTACTCCAGAATATGAAAACTCATGAGTAGAACAATGATTAACATAAACTACTCGCGAGTACTCTAGTTACTCGCCCAGCAGTACTCCAGACAACAGGCAGAGTATACTGTCCGAAAAGTTGAGTTTCCCCGGTTCTTTTCAGAACCTCACAAACTCACAAAAGAGACTTGTCACAAGGTGCTACCGTAAAGCTTTATCTTATTGCTACCTTCATAAAAATAATACTGAAGTCTTATATAGCACACTTATCCACCAACAATAAGTACTCAAGGCGCTGGAAATTATGTCTATTATTAAAGACAGGTAAATGAAGTACATGAGAAATACGAGAACCATTAGGCCAAAAAAAAAGAGTCTCCGGTTTCTGGTATGCGCGCGCGTCGCCGTAGCCATGCGCGTCGGCAAAATGAAAAAGTTTTTTTTTCAATGAAAGATGATGTCTCAAAATCGCCAAACTCACTGGTTTGACTGGAATCCTGCTGCTGAACATTTTTAATGTGTTTTTAGATTGGGTTATGGTCGAGAATAAGCTTTATGTGGCCTCTCTGGACTCCCATATATTTGCACTAAGTTTAGTCGGGCACCATTTGCAGTCATCAGCCGACATTTGAAGCAAAAAAATCAGGTGAAAAAAAAAAAAAAGCCGCGTCGCCGCACCACTTTTTGGGCAAGCTCCATACCAGAAACCAGAGACTTTTTTTTTTTGGCCTTATGTAGCACCTTTATAATGGTTTACAAGGTGCTGCGGCGCATATTGCAGCCACTGCCAGAAACACCGGGGCAAACCCCTTCTCTTAGCGATAAGTGTTACTGGGTTCTTTAACATGCATTGCACAACACACGGGACCTACGGCTTCACGTCCCATCCGAAGGACGAAGCAATAATGGTAAAGTGCCTTGCTGAGTTGCTCAAGCGCACAAGCACCATGTTCCCACGGTCAGGATTCGAACCCATGTACCACGGCACACGAGTCGAACACCGTAACCATTGGACCACAGCACCCCACAAACCTCATCATGCAAACCTTCAAATCTTACACAGCCCTCTGTTGGCAATCTTATACAGCCCAATTTGTCAATAACTTACAGTCACTTAAGATTTAATTTTGAAAATTTGACCCTGCAGAATCGGTGTCTATCCCCTAACGGCGTACGCGTTACCAGAACCCCACCCAGCCAAGACGAGGCCAACGTCTCCTGAGACGGCGGAGTCAGTCAAGAGCACGACCCCAGAGCCGGTGGAGGTGGAGAGTAGGGCCATCGTGCTGATGCAGTGCGATATGAAGGAGGAGGAAGAAGGGAAACTCAAGGTATGTATAGGATCCTTGCATGCACAGTAGAGGGCGGTATGACTATTCGTGAAAGCTGTATAAGAGGGAATCCTCAACCTCGCCCCCAGGGCTTACTCTGTAGTAACCCCTGGGCAGGAAACTTGCTTCCTGTATCCTGATGGGCTACCGCAGTAGCAAGTAATGGATTTATATCGCGTACTTGGTGTTGTTATTTCCATTGTGTTTTACACGTTTATGTTCACTTTCAATATATTACATCCACTCCTCCTGATAAACAATCCCCCTTTTCCATTTTGCGTATAATAATATGTTATGTGATAACTGCATATTGGATGGGTACAATTGTAACATTATAACTTTGAAGAAAAAAATATTGTTTTCGGCTTCGTGCCGTGATAAATTGATTCTGTTTTTACCCCCAGACACCGCATACAAAAACAAACGCTTATTTTAAAGCATGGACAACTCTGCCCGAGAATCAAATAAAATGGATCCCAAATTTGAAATTGGCTATCATGCGTAGCAGTGTGATATGAAGTAGGAAAGCAAACTTAAAAAGCTCGGCAAGGTTTGGTGACGCCGCCAACATATTGAATAGAACTTAAACCAAACTTGAGCTATCATGCTATCATGCCAAGCTATCATGCCCCACATTTTGTTTGCTCTGTTCTGCTGATAGATTGGTGATTACGTTTCAAGAAAAAAAATCGTTATAAATCAGTCTTTCTTCTTCTTTTTTGCGTGCAGTTGGAGTTACTACTACGAATGGATGATAAGATGAACAGGCAGCTGAGTTGTGAGATAGGAGCAGGTAGGGTCACTTCAACTATCCGGTGTTAATTATTCCCCCTCTCTCCCTAAGCATGGGTGGCATTGTGTGTAAAGCGCTCGCCTCTCACCACTGTGGCTCGGGTTCGATTCCCGGCTCGGGTCATACGTGAGTAGAGTTGTTCGTTGATTATCTCCTGTGCCATGAGGGTTTTCTCTGGGTTCTCTGGTTCTCCCTCTGCAAAATCAACCTTCCGATCAAGAGTTGTAATGACTCAAGTCAATGACTCGACTTGAGTCTGACTCGAGTCGCAATTTTTGGTGACTCGATTCGAGTCCCGACGGGTAACTGACTCGACTCAACTCGAGTCACTGTAAGCAAATCACTTGACTCGACTTGAGTCCCTTATCAGAAGACTCAATTTGACTTGAGCTAATAACACTCAAGTCCCAAAACTTCGCAAAAATATACTTGCGGTGACTTATGCAGGCATGCAACTTTTCCTCAGGTCCGCTGATTTCCTCGTTTTTTACTTCTCATGAATGCCATTTCAAATTGAAAAAAATACTGTACAAAGTCTTGTATGGTTTGGAGTTTCCTTGTTTTTTTTCTTCTAAATTCCCAGTTGCAAGCCTGCTTACGGTACAAAGTTGTTAATGTTCGCACGTGTACTTCGCGTTACCGCCAAGTTGTGGCTGCTTATCACGTACAAATATACGCCGCATCACGGACACTTCTGTCCCACCTGGTGGTTTTGTAATGTAACGCACAAACCACTATCCCGGAACCAGACTTTAAACGCATTTCCAAATTCTTGGTTTCATCATCGGCTTCAGGCGATTTCTTAAACCGTTGATGGAACTCCGGCTAAATTTATGTCCTGCTTTCAAAAAAAAATAATTAGATATTTTGTGTATAATCAGAAACAGTTTCGTTTGTTGCAATTTGGTTTTGACATTATCAGTGTAAAGATTATTCCCGACCTGATAAAACAGAAGTTTCACTTCTTGTTAACTGTTAAATGTTAAATGTCATGGTGCGTGTGCTCTTGGGCAAGGCACTTTGTCACTGGTTGCTTCTCTCCACCCAGGAGTAAATGGGTACCTGTGAGGGCAGAGACGGTTATTGTGGTTGATTAAGCTTCCTTGAGCCTAACAGGCAGCATCAAGCTGTATACTCCCCCAGGGAGCTGAGAAGGTTTCAGGAGTGTTTGCCCGTTGAAACAGGGGTAATATCAATTGTAAAGTGCTTTGATACCCCGTTGTGGCGTAAAAGCGCTATATAAATGCTTGTTATTATTATTATGTTATTATTATGTAGATCTTTGGTACGTCCAACAGAAGCTGTCTATTGGGTACCATGCAGCATATTTTAAGTCTTTTGATCTTCATAGTAAACGGGTGCCTTGTGTTTCTTATTCCATTCTGTAATTTATTATATGGTGTTCAAATGTCGGTGACTCGAATCGACTCAATCATAAATTTGACTTGACTCGACCACACACTGTGACTCAACGTGACTCGACACGACCTTTCACCTAATGACTAGACTTGACTCAAGTCACTTCCTTGAAATGACTTGATTCGACTTGAGTCACAAAATTCATTAAATTTTTTGTGCTCCATTTTCAGACGACAGTCCATGGGGCCTTGCAAATGAACTCGTAGAATACGGCTTCATCAACGACGTGAGTATCTGGTCATTGCGCAGTGGTTGAGGGCGCTCTATTGCATTAGGGCTGTCCATTTTCAAATATTTTAGTAGTTGATTATTCGAAACTGTGTTTGACTGAATATTCGAACCTCGCCGATCAAGTTTACAATGCCGGCTGCAACTGCGTAGTCTGAGTATCACCCGTATATATCCAAGCATGCGTGATGTCATTTCATACGAAATCAGGACTAAGATTGTGATTGGTCAATTTCGATGACGCGTTTTTGTAATACAACAACCTGTACAAAAATGCTACTCATCGTGGGCGTGATGTTTACGCACGTGGGGAGCTCGAATTACGCAGGTATAGAAAGCGCCTGCTGATTGGTCAGTTTCTCGAGGTCATATGCAGTCTAGTTGCATAATTAATCGCTGAATCTGTTTACGTATCATAGACTATGGTCGGCTTCGCCACCGCCAGGGTCTATTACATAGACTAGCAACTGCGTGCCATGCCAGTAAAATGTTGCACGCAATGTGCACTTATTAAAATTTGTGTGCATCGATTGATGTTACTGGACGCTCGAATGACTTGATGATCGAATATTCAATATTCAGGCAGCCTTATATTGCGTATCACTGGAGCTCAGTGTGGCACGCTTAATGTTCTAGGGCGCAGTTTCTACATCTCACTCAAGCTTTGTTTGGAAATAGACTTACTTAAGTTTTTAAAAAACCTAAACAGCTGTATTTAAGCTCTCTTAATTTTTTTCCCCCATTTTATTCCTGGTAATTGACATATTGAATCCCGTTGTCCTCCGAAATGGTGCTGATTGCATTCCATTGTAATATCAGGGATGTAGCCGAGTCTATCACAAGTCCTCCAGTCCCAACTCAACTCACAAGCTATTCAAATGAGCTTTGACAAAGGCCACTTGTGACTGGACTTGTGAATTGACTTGTGATTTACTTGTGACTGGACTTGTGGATTGACTTGTGATTTACTTGTGACTGGACTTGTGATTTACTTGTGACTGGACTTGTGATGTACTTGTGATATGCTTGTGAGTGGACTTGTGGATTGACTTGTGATGTACTTGTGACTGGACTAGTGATATACTTGTGACTGGACTTGTGGATTGACTTGTGATATACTTGTGACTGGACTAGTGGATTGACTTGTGATGTACTTGTGACTGGACTAGTGATATACTTGTGACTGGACTTGTGGATTGACTTGTGATATACTTGTGACTGGACTTGTGGATTGACTTGTGATGTACTTGTGACTGGACTAGTGATATACTTGTGACTGGACTTGTGGATTGACTTGTGATGTACTTGTGACTGGACTAGTGATATACTTGTGACTGGACTTGTGGATTGACTTGTGATATACTTGTGACTGGACTTGTGGATTGACTTGTGATGTACTTGTGACTGGACTTGTGATATACTTGTGACTGGACTTGTGGATTGACTTGTGATATACTTGTGACTGGACTAGTGTACAGACTTGACTACTTCCTGGTAAATATGCCCAAGAGGATTTAAGTGTGGTCTCCGTTGTTTTCCTTTCAGTGCGACCGAACGCGAGTCGCAGCCGTGATTGAGGAGAAACTCAACTTTCCAAACAGCCAATCCTCCGCCATTCCCGTCTCCGTCAGCTAGTAGCAAGACGTTCGCGCCGTCGACGTCACTTACACCCTGGGGTCGGAAGCCCGCAGGTTTAATATCAATGCAATTTGGATCTTGTAAAATACCAGTCTGTATATTGTTTTAACTTGTCGCAGTGTAGAGAGGAATAACACGTTAAGCTTCTGTAAAACTTTTTTTGAAATCAACTCAAAGGAAGAAGTTTAAAAGTATTGCCTGTTTGCAAGTGATCTGCTCTGTGAATGTGAGTTTTTTAATTGGCCAGTAAAGGAGCAGATACTGATTTTCTTTATTTGATGATATTTTGCTTATTTTGTTCTACAAGAAAGTTACAGGTAATTCTTGTGAACTATAACAAATTAGCTGTGACTATTCATACGATGGATTTTTTGCGTCGGGGTGATGTAAATTTAATATTAAATTTTGACCTTCACCGACATATAGACAACTCTGGCGACGGCCATTTTTCTGCGGTGGTGCAAGGCTCGTGCATAGCACGCTCAGCACGCACTCCAGGTTCCTTCTACCAATAGGAATACCAAAATGGGCACGCGCCTCAACGTTAAGAACGTGTGCAGTACGCGCGTCAGCATGACACCATCGCAGTAAAAGCTTCTAATTCTGGTCGCCGGATTCCTGTACTCTCTGGGGAAAACACTGAGTGATTTTTCACACTTTCACTCGGGAGGTAACACACTGAGTATACAGTGTTTATACATCGGTGAAGGGCAAAACTTAATATTGAAATTAGCTGTAGTTAACCAGCTCGCGTCGGAGGACGTGATACCATGCACTGGCCGTTCTTATACACAGGCACGGCTGACGGATTAAAACGTCAAGATTGCCTCGACTCGCCTCCGGGTGACGTCTACACACGCTAATCCCTCGTGCCTTTTGTACACACACACAAAGTCTGTGAAGTCTGTGGAGGCGGACCGTGTGTTGATCTTGAATTGGCCGTTGTGCACGGCCTGTTGTTGTACAATTTATGCTCCAGTGCACACCCCGGAGTATTGAAACATGAGGTTTCGGCAAGAAAAATCGTACAAAAACTGTTGAAATGACTCTTGCGAATCAGTATTTGTGGCGTTTGGCTGTATATCAGAAGTTGGCTGCAAAATTCTGCCTTTTGCAAAAATCAAGATTTTTCGGCAAAAATAATCCTGGCGCAAAGTGGTTAAGAAACTTTGGTTCAATTGGGAACATTCTCATTGTTTTAAAGTTATACTCTGAAAAAAAACCTGTAATATTCAAACATGCATGTCCCAAGAATCAGATTTAGCACAAAAGACCAAATTATGTTTAAAGCAAACTTTGAGGATATATTATGAAATATATCCAAAAAAAAGCAGTTTTGAAAATGTGCAACTCAGTTTAAAAGAGGGCGCTTGAAATGAATAATATCAGACTTAAATTTCGAAACATACTGTTACAAAAATGGAGACGTTAAGAAATTTCTAAACAAGTTTGCACTTGGTGTGCATGGCCACTTTGTTCGACCTTAAGTAAACTGCAATTTTTTTTCCTGGACATTGAATGTGCTATCAAGCTTTTGACAAGTCAGTCCACTTGTCCATTTCTGCTTTGTGGCAATAAATAACTTAAGTATGTATTCTCTGTCGCATGTCTCTAAGAAGCAAGTAACGAAGAAGGACAATTTACTCACTTTATCAATCGTATGGTAACCAATTAATACTATTCCAAAATAAATATGTATCCCACTTTTTCCTCCCTATAAACTTGCAACATATAGTGGACTTTAAAAAAAAAAATTATAAGTATCGGAAAGTCAGTTTTTATCCTTTCTCCACAAGGAAAGGATTTAACCTCAATTCAGAAACTCAGAGAGTTGTAATGCTTACGTATTGTGCATGAATGGCATATACTTATGGTTATTAGGCCCTCCTGATACATGTACATTAGTTTGAGTCTCAAGCTTTAACACGCGCTACCTCTTCATTTAACCATAATTTTAACATGAAATCTCGAGTAGTTTTAAAGGCCATTTTATCATCTGCAATATACCTCGAAAAAAATTACTCGCCAAAACGTTATTTGAGGTCATTGTACATGTAGATCAGAAACCCAAAGGGACATGACGGCCTGAAATCCCCAAAAATTTCATGTTTTGGATTGTTTACTTATCCGATTTCAAAAATCTGGTTGAAAGGAAACCCACCTAATGTCTTACCGTTCCTGAGAAAAGACAAAAATAACCCTGGTTGTTTACATCGGACACGACGGAGTATGCATACGTTTTTCCTGTCGTTTTCATTCAATGTACGATACACGTATTGTGTGTCACATAACTTACACACAAGAGTAAAAATCATTCTCAAAAATATACCGTAAAGCTGCAATCCTCCTTGTCCAAGATTTTAAAAAATATTTAAACATTGTAGAGTTTACCAAATTTGCGAAATCACTCTACGCAACACTGTGTTTCCATCAACAAAGTGCGCATTAATTGGTTCTTTTCTAAAAATATATATATATACACGTATATATTCTTCACTTGCTGTTACATAAATATTTAAGGTTAGGAATATTCAAGTTTCGATTTTGAGCGTTGTTACTCAAATCCCCCACCCCCTGAAAATAAAAAATCAAAATAAACTTCAAATGGTCTATTTGGCCTCAAAATAGTAACATTTGCTAATTATGCAAATAGAAAAGTGACAGTTTAATAGCTTCATTACCCCTAAACGTAACCCAAGAAATATTTATAAAAAAACACAGATATTATTTTAGTAAATTTTTTTAGCCAAAGACTGTAAAGACATGGAAGTAGAAACTCAGAAATGTTCAATTCTTTACGAAGCATGAAAACTGCTTATACTGCATTGTGATGCGTCCATGCTTAAATATTTATACTTGTAGATAAGTAAACTACGAAATGTTTAAAAACAGTACGTTGTAGCGTGATATAGGCATTAATAAGTCGGTATGCCAAAAACGCAAAAAGGCTTAATGCTAGATATTGTTAAATTAGTGTAAATAGTAGAGAGTTATTGCTATCGGCTTTTAGTGTTAACAAGTTAGCTCAAACTCATCTCGATATTTCGTTTCGAAAGAGTTGCTTGTAGAATACTTCTCCCTTTTTTTGAAAGCCATGTTTACTAAGTCTTCCGTCAAGTTGTACGAATTTTGCCTTTCTGTTTCAGCTATTTTACTTGAAAAGTTCACCTTTCAATTGCTATCTTTTGTGCTTTTCAGCGGTTTCCACTGTTTGGAAACAACTCCCTCACAAAACTAACAACAAGGTTCTGTCTCCTTGACACTCATTGAAAAAAAAAAGTGACCAAAATAAAAAAGTTGGTTTTTTTTTTATACAGGTTGAGTAAAAAAAACGAAACCCAAATGTGGGGACTATTGTTTCAGTGAAGTTCTGCATGTAGCACTTTCAAAATCTAGGATATGAAAGCCCAATTCATAAGCTTTATTTTAGTACAAGAATCATTCAAATCACTCATGTACTTTTCAAGTTACAGAATTTGAAACGCAACTACCGTTTTAAAGTTCTGTCCATGGATCACAAAAAAGTTGTGCGTTCTTTCAGCAAAACGAAAACAATTCACACACATCCTTATTTCGTTTTGCTGATAGAACACTTACTTGAAAATTACATGAGTGATTTGAATTATTCTTGTACTAAAAGAAAACTTGCTACAGGCAGAACTTCACTAAAACAATGATCCCGACATTTGGGTTTCAGGTTTTTTTACTCACCCTGTAGTTATAGTGACTATGAAAGGTTTCTTAAAGCATGTATTACTTGAAAAGTTACTAACAGTTTTAATTAGTCCCTTGCTCATAGTTTCACCATTTTGGGTATAGTTGTAAACTTCCACGGTCCCGGCTCGTACATGTTGACATGCTTTCTGAACACAAACCTATCTTAACTGGTGACCAGAGAATTGCTTGACTGTGTAATTCAGTGAATGCGGAGTACCAGTGCTGGGTTTTCAGAGACTACTCAGAAATGGCAACTATGGCATTAACAAGAATCAGAGAGTTAATAAAACTGAATTTTAAGCAGAAATGTCCGCCTTGCAAAGAAACTATTGACAGACGTTTCCTTCTGAAGTAATTCCTTGACAAATAACAATGGAGGAAAGAAGTGCTCATTCCCCAAGTTAATTCCATACTGAAACACAAATTTAAAAACTCAAGTCTTCAAAAATCAATTCTTCAAAAATACATTTGTAATCCACCCCTTTCGTATTTTGAGGGTACAAAAGTTAACATTGCGTATCTTCTTCAGTCTCCTGAAGATGACTAGAGCAGGCTAATCGAAACGTTGATACTAAACTTATCTCACTCCGCCTCAGTAACGATAATTGCGAGAAGTCCCACAAGGCGGTTAGCGAAAGTAGATAATAAGCAGGACAAGTTCTTTTTTAACTAAGCAGGACCGCTCTTATCAGAACTAAATCTACTGAACGACGGTAGTTATTATAGTGTTACCACAAACCGAAACTATCTTATTGCCCAAATTTCTATTTAAGAAACTGCTGAATGATTGTTGACAAAGGGATCTTTGTAAAAAGACAACAGACGTGACAGTTGCCCAGAAATATCTGTTTGGTTAGAATTACCGCGTTTTACTGATGTAGTCTCTGAAGATCTGGTTTTCCAGATTTGCATGTCGCAAGCAAATTTCAGTAAAAGCTGAGCCAGCATGATTTTTTGACAATTTAACCCAAAATTGTGAAACTTGGTATGAGCATCGACCACAACTGTACATATAACTCAAACACTATTTGGTCCTTTCCCTCCATTTAGTGTTAACAAAGGTGCAGTAGTTCCATTTGACATCGTCAATCATTCCAGATCAGTTTTGTCGCAGTGGTTTGTACAAAATATCGCTAGTCTGCAAAGAGTGAAACTCTCTCCGTCTGGGGACAATTTGGGGCCAGTTCAAAGTTGTTTGTTTTTGTTAAACAGTTAATAAATGTGTCATTTTACCAAAAGAAAATGACATGCACTGGTTCAAGTTGTGCATGATATTACCCTTTAACCCTCCTGCTATTTAAACAGTCACAGACCGTCAAAAAATACTTCTCCTGCTGTACTTTGGCTAGTCACCAGCAGTCAGATCATATTTCAAGCAAGCGCTGTGACTAGTCAAATTCAGTCAAGCCTAAAGCAGGCAAGTGGTAGACACAGCTGGCTTATCAATCACCTACAGTCATAGCTGTATCAAGTTACATAAACAGTCACAGCCAGTCAATCCTGCTATTTGTAGGCTGGGAGCTCTGAACTCTTGAAAACCGTCACTTGATTGATTTTGACTGAAAGGAAACTTTGTACGGAATGTATGTTTGCATAGGAGGGTTATTGATGAAAATACAAAGTAACTGCATGCTTATACACCACATGCGCATGAAGGACGTTTCCCTAGTTGAAAAACAAAAAGATGTACTGCATGGAGAATGGCAAGGTATCCTTTTAGGGGGTGTCATTATTATAAATGTTTTGAAAGTGTGACATGAATAATAAAAACCTTTATTTCAGGATTTGATCCAAACTTAGTGTATCTTAAATCCTGCCCAGATATCACACGCATACGCATTGAACCCTAATCCACATACGATTTTCAAATTGTGACTTGTTTTATTCTTTAAAAATGGCTCTGAAAGTTTTGTTCCCCCTTCTTTTTCTCTCAAAAAGTTTTTTGAATTTGTATTATATTTCGAGGCTTTAACAGTTTCCAAACCTTTTTCCGCCACACTTTTCTCGTTTTGTTGTACATTTCAGTGTGTGTGGAACACAGTCTTTTGCTGTTTTATATGAAAACTGCTTGTA